GTTGTCATTGTTCAATTTAGTTTCTGAAGCTGAACTTGCCTAAATTCAATTTATCTGTGAAGTTGGTTCCACTTTCTGCTATGAAGGGCAGTGTCAAATATTTTCGATATAAATTATTGTCTTTTTCCATTTATAAATAAATGAGGAGGGCAAAAAAGTGAAATTTGAAAGCCAACTCCTGCAATCTGCTGGTTAACTTTGAGCAGACTGTCAAATTAATATATCTGTGGCACATGTGCCCTTCCTGCAAGGGTGGATGGGAGGGCTTGAAAATGTATCTGCGAGCCTGAATTGTTTGGAAAAATTTCTAAGACATTGTTCAGTAGTCATTGCATCCTTGCACTCCCTCACATGCATAGAGGAAAAATGATTTTCGATTGGAAGGATATGGATGCATGCTATATATGTGTGTGTATGCTGATGTGAAGCAACAAAAATAATGTTTTCTTCGTGAAACAGGTAAAACGGTGTCTTTAGACCCAAAAGCAAGGATAGTGGTCCCTGAAGGTAGATATGGACTTGAGGCAATTGACGCCTTGGACCCTGACATGGTATGTTGTGCATTCTAACTTTACATTACATAGACATGAAGGATAATTACTTGTAGAAGCTAACTTAGGCTTTTTTCATGCATGCGCTTTATTCTGGCCTTCATTGTTCTCTCTTCATTGTAATTTATAGTCCAGGCGCACTGTTGAGAGATTTCATAATGGGACTTTTACTCGCTTTCTTTGTTAATTTGCGACAGCAAATCAAGGCCCTTTTCTTCCCAAATAAAATCTTGAACCCTTATTATTTTCCACAACTGTTATCCCTCATATAACCTATCAAAGGATCCTTTAAAGCTGGATTTCTTTGGTTTCTAGAAATTGTGTAAGCTGTTTCCTAGGTAATTTATTTGTTATAAGAAAATGGTTCATTAGATCCCAAACTGATATAACTTTTTTTTTCCCTTGAAAAGTTATATTTGGGATGAGGGATTACTTATCAGCACTTTGTATAGTATTCACATGATATATTGTGAAAAATCATAATATTTCTTATTTTACTTGTGAACTCTTCTCTCATGATTTCTGGAATAAATTTCTGGAAGTAATGAGGTTGAACACTGATAAAATCTCTTAACATATTGTCTTGTACAGGTCATTGGACAGGAATGTGTATATTACTTCCATGATATGATTGTTGAATTTACCAAGTGGGGTTTTCAAGAGGGGAAAACACTTTTTGGCTTTGGATATGACTTCCGGCAAAGCAACAGGTATCTACTTAGTTTTGCTTTATTTGAATGCTACTTAAAAGTCCAAAAGATTGATTGAAAAGTTTATAAATGGTTTTCGCCCTCTCTCTAATTTGTATGCTTTATTAGATATTCACCATGGTTGACGTTGTCAATTTTGATTTTTCTTTGTTTTCATTTAGGTTGCAGGAGACGTTGGACCGCCTAGCTGAAAAATTAGAGGCAGTGTACAATGCTGCTGGAGGAAAAAAGATAAACATTATAACTCATTCTATGGGGGGCCTTCTAGTGAAATGTTTCATGTGCTTGCATACTGATGTAAGGCATTCACTCTGCCTCTTCAGTAATAAGTCTCCTTTATTCTTTTTCTCTGTCCACTCCCTTCCCAGATTATTGCATCAACGGCTTATAGCTTTGTAATATTTTTTTTTTTTCCTTTTTGTGTGTGCTAGAAGGTATATTGTATAATTTAATACCATTTGTTTCACAGGTTTTTGAGAAATATGTGAAGAATTGGATTGCAATTGCTGCACCATTTCAGGGTAAGTGATCATGTATAATTTATCATCACCCAGGACAAGTATACCAACTGTTTTACTGAAAACACTGATAACCTGATACAATCTGTTGATTTAAAGAGTTACATATTGATGAAATGAATTTTCATGAAAATTTCAAAATTATCTTCTTAAATGAAATTGGTTTTAAGTGTGTTACTTGCTTCTCCTCCTGAGAGTCTAAATGTGTATGATGCTAGTGCAAGGGAAAAGGGTTGATTTGTTGAATACATTAAGTAGCAAATAGTATGAGAGGAAAGTGTCTATGAGGATGTGTCATTTTCTTAGTTACAATATTCTAGTATATGCATGATGTCAGAAGCAGCTATCTTGTTTTCTGGTGATTTAGATATTTCAAGATTGTAGTCACTTCGAAAGTTTGCAAAATATGACTAGCTGTATGATATGAAAGTAAGTTTGCCCTATCCACAGGACCATACACTGAACTCATCCTTTGGATGCCATATATATATATATTTTAACCTTCTTTTGAATTATCAACAAAATGGAATCTAAAGAGTTTGAAGTTGACCTCTAATAGCCTGTATAAGCTCAGTTGTTATGTTGGTCATAGTTTCATTACTAAAGCTTCCAATATTTAGGAAAAATTAACCAAAAGTTAATTTGTGGCTTTTCATTGTCCTGCAGGTGCACCTGGTTATATCACATCCACCTTTTTAAATGGAATGTCATTTGTGGATGGGTGGGAACAGAACTTTTTTATATCAAAATGGAGCATGCACCAGCTGGTATGAGTCCATTTCTGTGGGCAGTTAACTTCCTAGACCTTAAGCATTTGTTTCTTTGCATCCATATTTTTTCTTACTAGGGTTTGTTTTAATGTTCCAGCTTATTGAATGTCCATCAGTATATGAGTTGATGGCCTGTCTTGATTTTCACTGGGAACACATTCCACTTCTAGAAATGTGGAGACAAAGGCTTGATGGTGATGGGAACTCTCAAATTATCCTAGAGTCTTACCCCCTGGCAGAGAGTGTAGAAATTTTCAAGGAAGCTCTAGCAAGTAATACGGTAAGCACCACATATGTATGGCTTATTTTATCATGCACTTGTATGGCTTACTTAAACTCACAGTTCATGTTTTCATAATTTCAGGTCAATTATAATGGTGAGGATCTTCCCCTACCATTTAATATGGAAATCTTGAAATGGGCTAATGAAACACGCAAGATTATATCTCGTGCTAAAGTTCCTCCTCAAGTTAAGTTCTACAATATATATGGGATCAATCTCGAGACACCTCATAGTGTTTGGTAATACCTCCTATGAATCTTTTGATACAATCTTTCTGCTACTTGCAACTGCTATTTTTAGACAGTTGTAGATCAGAAGCTTCAAGTTTTAATAAAATGTTTCCAGATACGAATTTCTTTTAGCATGCCTTAATTTAATATCTAAGTCAAATTCACTACTCTGCAGCTATGGAAATGAGGAAACACCTGTCACGGATCTACGACAGCTACGATATTTCCAGGTTATTATCTTCTAATGTGATATGGTGTTTTTGTATGATCATCAATTACAAAACCTAACTCATTTTTGCATTCAATCAGCCAAAATATGTATGCGTTGATGGTGATGGGACAGTTCCAGCAGAATCAGCTAAGGTTCGTTGACCTGCCTGTCCATAATTTTCACTTATTCACATTTGCTTTAGTGATTGGCGCGAAGTTAGAATATCTTTTCCCTGTCTTTTTACACAACTTTCTTTTGCCAATTTCAGGCAGATGGGCTAAATGCTGCAGCAAGGGTTGGAGTCCCTGGTGAGCATCGGGGAATTCTTTGTGAGCACCATGTATTCCGGATACTCAAGTGCTGGTTAAAGGCAGACCATGACCCTTTCTACAACCCTCTAAACGATTATGTCATTCTACCCACTGCTTTCGAAATGGAGAAGCACAAGGATAAAGGTTTGGAAGTAACATCTCTGAAAGAGGAGTGGGAAATCATCTCCCAAGACCAAGACCAAGACCATGATCACGACAATAAAGTAGCTGCTTATGAAAGGCCAATGGTAAGCTCCATATCTGTTTCTGATGTGGGAGCTGAGGCCTGTGCAACTGTTACTGTTCACCCTCAGAATGAGGGGAAGCAGCATGTCGAGCTTAATGCTCTAAGTGTGTCGGTCGATGCCTAAATATAAGTCAGAAGCATCATCGGTTGTATTTTGTGAAAGACAATGCTCATCTGTATATAGCCATTCATGTGCTCAAATCCCCGTGTTAGTAACTTGTAAATAGGAGTTTGTCATGAAAACAGAACTGCTTCTCCAAGGTTGGATATGCAGGTGGCCTTGTATATATGAAAAGATCGTAAACCCATTGGTGATAATACAATTGTTTGTTGAAGTGTTGCCAATGCTTAAAAAGATCTCGTAAACTCTTGTGGCTCGTACTTTATGAAGTGCTTGAAAATAAAATAAAAAGTATTATATGCACTAATTAATATAAACGTTACAAGTGGGGTTCATGATGATCTAAAATTAGAGTTCTTACCGGTCCTCTAATCGAGCCTTGATCACCTTAGCCCCCACCACCTTTTTGTGGCGTGTCTACAACCAGGCAGATCATACGGAAATTTTTGTAAGCTTCTTTGAAGCTATATGCAATATCCCACACAGAAACTTTTGCAATTTTCTTTTAGATTTAGTCTTGATGAGTTGTCACATGATTTTTTTATAGCTAGTTTTGATCTATTTTGGCGACAAGGTTCATATTTAGGGTGTTTTCGTTTTTCATGAATTGTTAGCTAGTTTTGATCCATTTTCGCGACAATGTTACATATGGGGTATAGGTCTTATACCGGCGGTCGACCGGTGCCGGTGCCATGTGCTCCATTTAAGAGATCATGTTCTCCAACCCTCCGCATGTGTGAATAGCAGCTTGTAAACAGGAGCTTAAAATGAAAATAGAGCTGCATTCCACCTCCAGGGTTTGGATATGCAAAAAGGCGCCTTTGTGCCTTTGTATATAACTCAACTGTCCCAATTGAGTTTTACTGCCAATGTTTTAAGCACATTATGTCATAGTTGATATATCTAATCTAATTATAAACGGACATCAAAATCATGAAATGTAACAATCGATAGTTAGTTAGTTCATAGTGATTTTAAAATATAATTCTTGGCAAAATGAACACAAATTTAAACCAAAACTTGCAATAATAATCCTCAAAATTATATGCTAACATGATTATGAATGAGTACTATTGCTCATGATGACATGAGATGAGAGGAAGGGATGGTTTAGGATTTAGGGTGAGCACTACCAAAAGGGCAAATTCCGACCACTTCATGTGATTTTTCGAAGAGGGAGGTGCAGCTACACTTCCTTGTGCCTTAATATGTCATCCACTGTAAGCAGCACGAGTCGCAGAAACAGCTAAGCATGGCCAAACAACTGTCAATACAAAGAAACCAATATGGAATTAAGTATAAACATGATAACATATTAGCCCTTTACTTTACTTGAGAAAAATGTAATTTAGGGGGGTTGAGAATGTTCAATTACCATCCTGTGCAAAATCCAGCACCTGTACCATGATGAGACTCGGTAGGCTGCTGTTGTTGCTCGGGGTAGGGAGTTGGTTGTTGGAGGTATTCAGGACCATCATGTTTCATGGGGTAAGCAACTGGTGGTGCAACAACATATGGACCACCATGACTGTTCCCGTGAACTGCACCGGAAGGTGGTGGTGATGGATATACCTCTGCAATTTGGTAAACACAAACGTTGATATTTGATCATGAACAAAGTAAACAAGCAAAATATATACAAATTAGAAAAGTAAATCACATAAACAGACATTAAATGGTAATTTACCTGGAGCCCGGTGATGATGGTGGTGGTCGTGACTCATGATGAGCAGTCTATATAATATATGCTAAAGATTGAAGATAGGAGGAGAGCTTAGATTGTTTTTGATATCCAGATGCTTACCGGACAGTTGCAGTGGATTTTTGATATCCTTGCTAGTGATGTAAACCTTTCCATTGGACTTTAATAAAACTTTCTATCGTTTGGGACCCAAAAAAGATAAGAGGAGAGCTTATACAAATATTTTGGTTTTCTGGCTAGACTAGTCTTACTCTCATATTTCGTACTTGGCTGGCAGCTGCCAAAACCAAAGGGACGCGTCAATATAGTACACGTGGCGTTGGGTATTTTGTGGGAAGTTGATTGGTTGATGATGGTTTCAAAGTCAAAGAAGAAGAAGCTAAGAAATATCTTAACATTATTAAAACATATTTTGTGTTTGCATATTTTTTTAAAAAATTACTTAAACTATTTAGTATAAAATAATTTAGCTAATGTAAATTATTTTGGAAAAGGGTTACGCTCTTATAAGAGACAAACAAAGAATGCCTCTGCATCGTAGTGAAGACCAACATGGAGCCGTTTGAAACCTGGACACAAAATTTCTCCAAAATTAAAGGTTATGTCAAAATAAATAAAGAATTTATATAGAGTAAATTTCCCTTTACTACTTGAAAGTTTTCCGAAATTTAATTTTTACTACTTCAAGTTTTTCGTACCTAAAATTTGATTTTCTTACCAATCGATAGTAAGTTAGTTCATGATGATTTTCAAATATAATTCTTGGGAAAAATGAACAGAAAATTAAGCACAAATTTAAGCCAAAACTTGCAATAATAATCCTCAAAACTATATGTTAGTATCACATAACAACCAAAAATGGAAAAACATAGAGAGGGAGCCAGACGACTCAGAACCTAAGCTTGGTGAAGAACCACCGGTTCTTGCCACTCTTGAACCGGTCCTCCAACCGGGCCTTGATCTCCTTCTTCGCCGCCACCTTCTTGTCGCGTGTCTGCAACGCGTCCACCGTGAGCACCTCCTTCAGGTCGACGTCCAGGTTGTAGCGCGTCGGCATCACGTGCTGGTAGTTCACGAGCTTCACGAAGGCCTTGACCCGGGACTTCTTGGCCGTCTTCTTGGCCGAGTCCTTTCTGATCACCTTGCTCGGGTACTTGGCTATCCCCGCAACCAAACAGTGCCCGTACGGCCTGTCACGTGTCCCTTCCTCGAAGGATTTCACGATCACGGCTTTCCTGCCTGCGTATCGTCCCTGCAGGAGCACCACCGCTTTGTTTGCCTTGAGAAATTTCACCATTTTCGCTTCCTCTTTGTTTTTCCCGAGAAAATGTTGAAAACCCTAAGCAAACTCGGAGGCTACGGGAAGAGGAAGCAGCTCAGTGAAGGGGTTTTTACTTTATATACGTTTGGTTGTTAGAGGGTGTTGGTTTCACAAATGGGCAATTAAAGATGAGAAATTACAAAAAAGCCCAATAGAGCTAACCAGGCCAGGCCTGGCCTAAATAGTACATATAGACAAACCAAGAGTCCAAAGACTATGGAATCTACACACATACTTGGCCCAAGTGATTTCCCTTTTCGGCTTTGATTTAATTTTTCCATATTGCTTCATTGCTCTATGTTTTTATCATATAGATATAATATTCCTATGATTAAGGCTTTCTGAAAATTCAGGAAGATATATTAAATGGGTTAACAATATAGAAAGTGGACGTATGTGCCAACCTAAATAGCATTGTCCTCAGCTCGTTTGGTGGCCCGACTTGGATTGGAATTGGAATTGAGTCGAAGATAGACCTTATGAGTCTCACTTCTCTAGGTGGGACTTGTAAGACACAATATGTTAAAGTGTTGTTCAATTTAATAAGTTCAATCTCAATACAGCAAACAACGCCAAGACACTTATTCATTTTAATTGAAATATTTCAATTCGGCTCTACTGGATTTTGAGTATTGGAAAAGACTGGTTAGGTTAGGACTTGGCGACTTGGCTTTGAGCCTTGTTTGTTTCCTTGTGACCCATGTCTCAACTAGTGACTACTGGAGTTGCTTAGTCCAACATATAAGTTTTGTTCACAATTCTTATTGGTGCACCAAATACCGGCTAAAACACTAGTTCGATTTAATCGGAATAATCATGTCCAAACTAGCTCGTCAAACAAGGCCTTCATGAGTTTAATGTTCTTTAGTAGGGAGATTAGTGTAGTCAAAGATGGTTTGCCATGAAGGCCTTAATTTATAATTAAGCTGGTTGAAAAGTCTCTTCAAGCTAATTAAAGTTTCTCGTAGTATGTTCGTTGCATTGCAATGCAGCATATATAACATGTGGGACATAGTGACATATATATAAACTAGCTAGTGAAGATTAGACATATATTGAGTATAATAATTTTATAATTAGAACACTTGGTAACATATGTATGTAGCAAATTTGCATGTATGATTGCAAAACTTTACACAAAAGAGAATCAATCTCACTGTATGGAAGTAAATATAGCGGACAGAAAAAGGGAAGATTATGAAGTTACAACACTTGAAAAGATTAAAAGATTGAGCAGGGCAAGCAGCACAAGTCGCAGAGGCAGCAACAGAACATGGCAGAACAACTGTCGATACACAAAGAAACCAATACGGAATTAAGTATAAACATGATAAGAAATTAGTTGATTTTATTTAGGAAAAAGTATCTGAAGGGGGGTTGAGAATGTTCATTTACCATCCTGTCCAAAATCCGGCACCCTTACGATGATGAGACTTTGTTGGCTGCTGTTGCTGCTGGGGGTAGGGAGGTGGTTGCTGGGGGTATCCAGGACCATCATGTTTCATGGGGTAAGCAACTGGTGGTGCAACAACATATGGACCACCTTGACTGTATCCGTGAGCTACGGGTGGTGGCGCTGGATAGGGTTGAGGAGGCGGATAGCCTTGGTATGTGCCGGCAGGCGGTGGAGGGTATGAGGTGGGTGGTGGTGGATATACCTCTGCAATTTGGTGACCACAAATGTTGATATTTGATCATGAACAAAGTAAACTATGTATAGTATAATCCAAGTTACATATTAAATGAGATTAATTAACCAATTAAATCACATAAACCCTATGGCAATTTACCTGGAGCCTGGTGATGATGATGGTGGTAATGACTCATGATGAGCAGGACTGAAATTGTAGGAGATGAAGATAGGAGGAGAGCTTAGAGAATTTATGGGTTTTTTTTTTCTGGCTACATTAGTCTTCTAGATATTTCATACTTGGCGGCCCCAAAACCCAAACAAGTCAATATAGGAATATGAGATCAGTTGTTTGTTTGTTGCCTTTGTACGAGTAATATGAATTATTTATCGCCGCCAATTAAGTACACACATGCATTTTCAATTACCTATCATGACTCGACACGTGGCATATAGCCTTCCTTTTTGTTGGGTATTTTGTAGTTGGTTTTGATGCTTTCAAAGTCAAAGAAGAAGAAGCTTCTGTTGTGTGCTTCATTTCAAGGATGGACCTGAGGAAGGAAGGAAGGAAGATTGGGAGAAAGGACTCTGGGTTTGCTACTTAATGTGCTTCTAGATGGATGCTTTGCAAAAACATCTGTTAGTTTGAAAAAGAGTAACTCTTGACCTTTTGAGTCCTCAATAATATTCCGAGTTTTTTTTTTTTTTTTTTT